CATGTATGTACAGAGAGAGTCTGTGACAATTCCAATTCTGATTCCTTCGGCCCTTGGAGCTTAATACCTCTGCCATGATCAGTTTTTTTCATATAACAGAGTATGCTATACAGATATGATCATTACAATGTACCATGACCTAAATAGATTTGGGAAGCACAGGTCCAGTGAGAAACTAGATACACTGCATTTAGAACTCAGGAGATGATGTCTAGGCTAGAGATTTTTGGGTGCTGTCCGCACAGAGGTGCTAGTAAAACCCCACAGAGGGACTTCTACTCCAGGCCATGTTGGAGTAACTGGTACTAGACTTGCTCTCCTGTTGTAACAATTAGAAAATTGGGCAAAATATAAGAAAGAGCTCTTTGACAATGACTCTGAAAAAAAGGGAAACAAAATAAGTCCTACCATTGTCACCACTTGCCACCTGAAAGCAGCACATTCTGAATGGTAGCATAGGGAGCTTGGAAGTCTTGCTGAGCATGGAAGTCTTCCTCAGGTGGAAGAGACAAAGACTGGAGTTCAGAGAGCCAGAGGCAGCTAGAATTTGCAGGGCAGTGTAACAGAAAAGAGAGAGCTGTATAGAGAAACAACTAAAAAAAAAAAGAAATTTCTATGGGTCTCCTTGAGTCTATCCATTGAATACTAAGCCATGAGTGGCCAAGATAAAAATGTATGAGCTAGGGGCACCTGGGTGGCTCAGTCAGTTGAGCATCTGACTCTTCATTTTGGCTCAGGTCATAATCTCACGGTCGTGGGATCGAGCCCCACATTGGGCTCTGCACTCAGTACGGAGTCTGTTTGAGTTTCTTTCCCTCTCCCTCTGCCTCCCCCTCTGTGGCTCCCCCGGCCTGTGCTCTCTCTCTCTCTCTCTCTAAAATTAATTAAAAATAAATAAATAATCTTTAAAAAAAAGTCTATGAGGTTAGCCAATGAAGTATCAGGGAATTTTAAGCTGAACAATTCCAAGAAGTGATGCAGAGCTGGGAGATGTTTAAGTTCCAACCAATAAGAATGAAGAGAAAAAAGAAGGCAGACTTTAGTAGTAGGACTAACCTAGCCAGTAAAAGATACCTTATATTTGTCCTAACAAGCTTAAAAGGAAGCCTGAAATGGACGAAGTTGATCTACAAATAACTACCTGAAAAACTAATTTCAATACTCTTTAATAGAAGTCAACAAAATCAAGACATGCAATACCCACGATTTTCAGAATCTAATCAAAATTGCTAGACATACTCTTAAGAGGGAAGTATATACCAATACATTAGGCCTACTTGAAGAAGCAAGAAAAATCTCAAATATACAACCTAACCTTACACCTAAAGGAGCTAGAAAAAGAGCAATAAATGAAGCCTAAAACCAGCAAAAGAAGAGAAATAAAAAGATTAGAGCAGAAGAAATGATATAGAGGCAAAAGAAACCAATAGAACAGAACAATGAAATCAGGAGCTGTTTCTTTGAAAAAATAAAGAAAAATGATAAACTCCTAGCCAGGCTTATTAAAAAGAAAAGAGAAATCACCCAAATAAATAAAATCAAAAGTGAGAAAGAAGAAATAACAACCAATACCACAGAAAGACAATTATAAGAGAATATTATGAAAAACATATATGCCAACAAAGTGGACAACCTTGAAGAAATGGATAAATTTCCAGAAACATATAAATTACCAGAACTGAAACAGGAAGAAATAGAAAACTTGAACAGACTGAAAACCACCAAAAAATTGAGTCAGTAATCAAAAATCTCCCAACAAACAGAAGTCCAGGGCCAGATGGCTTCACAAGGGAATTCTACCAAGCATTTAAAGAAGAGTTAATACTTATTCTTCTCAAACTATTCCAAAAACTAGAAGAGGAAGGAAAACTTCCAAATTTATTCTTGAGGCCAGCACTTTCCGGATACCAAAAGCAGATAAAGACTCCACTGAAAAAGAGAACTACAGGCAAATATCCTTGATGAACATGGATGTAAAAATTCTCAACAAGATACTAGCAAATTGAATCCTTAACAGTACATGAAAAGAACCATTTGGCACGATCAAGTGGGATTTATTCCTGGGCTGCAAGTGCTTCAATATTCGCAAGGCAATCAATGTGATAGACCACATTAATAAAAGAAAGGTTAAGAACCATATGATCCTTTCGATAGATGCAGAAAATGTATTTGACAAAGTACAACATCCATTCATGGTAACAATCCTCAAAAAGGTAGGATTAAAGGGAATACCTAAGCAAAATAAAGGCCATATATGAAAAATCCACAGCTAATATCATCCTCAATGGGGAAACCTGATAGCTTTTCTCCTACAGTGAGGAACAACACAGGAATGCCCACTCTCACCACTGATAACATAGTACTGGAAGTCTTAGCCACAGCAATCAGACAACAAGAAAAAAATAAAAGGCATCCAAATTGGCAAGGAAGAACTCAAATGTTCACTATCTGTCAATGACATGATACTATATTTAGAAACCCTGAAAGACTACACCAAAAACTTGCTAGAAATGATAAATGAATTCAGTAAAGTCGCAGGATACAAAAACAATGTACAGAAATCTGTTATATTTCTATACACCAATAATGAAGCAGCAGGAAGAGAAATCAAGGAATTGATCCCATTTGTAATTGCACCAAAAAGCATAACATACCTAGGAATAAACCTAACTGAAGAAGTATATGATGTGTACTCTGAAAACTATAAAACACTGATGAAAGAAATTGAAGATGACACAAAGAAATGGAAAAAGATCCCATGCTCATGGATTTGAAGAATAAATATTATGAAAATGTCTATAGTACCCAAAGCAGCCCCTATCAAATTACCAACATCATTTTTCACACAGCTAGAACTAAGAATCTTAAAATTTATATGGGACCACAAAAGACCCTGAATAGCCAAAGCAATCTTGAAAAAAACAAAGCAAAGCTGAAGTCATCACAATTTTGGACTTCAAGTTATATTACAAAGCTGTAGGGATCAAGACAGTATGGTACTGGCACAAAAATGGACACATAGATCAATGGAACAGAATAGAAAACTTAGAAATGTACCCACAACTGTACGGTTAGTTAATCTTCAATAAAGCAGGAAAGAAAATCAATGGAAAAAAGACGGTGTCTTCAACAAATGGTATTGCAAAAACTGGTAATCTACATGAAAAAGAATGAACCTGGAATGCTTTCTTACACCATTCACAAAAATAAAAATGGAGTAAAGGCCTAAATGTGAGACAGGAAACCATCAAAATCCTAGAGAAGAACACAGGCAGTAACCTCTTTTATATCAGCCGTGGCAACTTCTCACTAGATATGTTTCCTGAGGCAAGGGAAATAAAAGCAAAAATAAACTATTGGGACTTCACCAAAATAAAAAGCTTCTGCACAGCAAAGCAAATGATCAATGAAACTAACAGGCAGCCTATGGAATGGGAAAAGGTATTTGCAAATGACATATCTGATAAAGGGTTAGTATGCAAAATCTATAAAGATCTTATAAAACTGAACACCCAAAAAACAAATAATTGTTAAAAAAATGGGCAGAAGACATGAATAGAAATTTTTCCAAAGAAGACAAATAGATGGCCAACAGACACATGAAAAGATGCTCAACATCACTCATCATCAGGGCAATACAAATCAAAACTACAATGAGATAATCACTTCACACTAGTGGGAATGGCTAAAATTAACAACACAAGAAACAACAGGTATTGACAAGGATGTAGATACAGGGGAACCCTCTTGCAGTGTTGGTGGGAATGCAAAGTGGTGCAACCACTCTGGAAAACCATGCGGTGGTTCCTCAAAAAGTTTAAAATAGAACTACCCTATGATCTAGCAATTGCACTACTGGGTATTTGCCCAAAAAATACTAATTCAAAGTATAAATGCACCCCAGTGCTTATAGCAGTACTATGAATATAAGCCAAAATATGGAAAGAGCCCAAATGTCCATCTGACTGTTGAATGGATAAAGAAGATGTGTTATATATACACAATGGAATATTACTCAGCCATCAAAAGGAATGAAATCTTGCCATTTGTAACAGCATGGATGGAGCTAGGGAGCATTATGCTAAGCCAAATAAGTCAATTAGAGAAAGACAAATACCGTATGATTTCACTCATTTGTGTAATTTAAGAAACCAAACAAGTGAGCATAGGGGAAAAAAAGAGAAAGGCAAACCAAGAATAGACTCAACTATAGTGAACAAAGTGATGGTTATCAGAGGGGAGGTGGGTAAGGGGATAGGTTAAACAGGTGATGGGGATTAAGGATTATATTTGTGATGAGCAATTGGTGTTATATGGAAGTGCTGAATCACTATATTATACATGTGAAACTACTATCACACTGTACTAACTGGAATTTAAATAAAAACTTTAAAAATCAGTAGACATGTAAAAAGGGAAAAAAAAATGTCATGCATAACCCAGTTAATATTTATTCATTAGGAATACATGTAGAGGAAGAAGCAAAGGGTGGCAAAGATGGAATGCTGGAAATACCCAGCCAAGATTTAGAAGATGAGAAGAAGAAAAAGGACCTGACAAGAGTCACTTGAAAGGTTTAATACAAGATTTTAGAAAAGTCACAAGATGTTGAGTCACAGAAGTCACATTAGGGAGAAAGTTTCAAAAAGGAGGGAATAGTCAACAAGGAGATCAAGCAAGACAGAGTCTGAAAATTGTCCACTGGATTTCACAGAAGATACCTTCTAAGCCTGGCAAAAGTAGTTCCAGTGGAGAGGCTGAGGCAGAAGCCAGACTGCAAAGGTTCTGAGGTGTCAATATGATGTGGAGAAGGAGAGATGCTAGTTGTTTCAAGGCAAGATTGTCTCTGAGCCTGGGTAGGCAAATATGCGTACATTTTTCCTTTGAAAATATTTCTTAAACATTCTACAACCTTTTTTAGCAATGTCTCCTTTCTCTTATAGACACATTTATTTTTAATACACAATTTCCAATAAGAATTATGAAATTAAAATTGTTACCAAAAAAGGCATTCAGCAGCTTCTGAACCTGAATGTTGCTGCCCACAGTACGGTATAATCCCTCTGTCTTGATCCCTAGGGAAAGAAACTGAGGTCAGTTTTGTTTCCATAGCTAGAGCTTTCATTTTCCTCAGGGTAGAGAAAGTAGGTACTTACACCCTGGTGTCAGTTCAAACAGGAAAGTGTCTCCCTACCCTCTGCAAGCTCTCCAGCCTTCCCCTGCAATAGGGGAACAGTTTTGAAGCCTCTCTCCAAATTATTCTCTCCATATTTTCATTTGGATTATACCAAGATTTCATTAATGTGAACAGAAGAGAATATACTCTATAGTAAATAGAAAAATATGCTTAGGTGGGTAGCAGCAGGTGGCTGAGAATAGGGTTTAATTGAAAAAGGGAGCTAGGATTTAATTGAAAAAGGAGGAAATATCAACCTCCGAGTTGCTCGTGAGCAGTGATATAAAGGGAGAAAGGGATGGAATATGGCATATGTGAAACAAAAGGCCATTTTGCATATAGAGAAATTCTAGCAACATTTCAAAGAATAAAGAGGCTTGGCTCATATACTACCTGCCCACATTCTAAATATTCTCAGAGAGAAACTAGAGAGTATCATCAACCTGGGAAAACACTGATTCCATATTTGTCTGAGTTCAGCTTTGCACCCCATCAATTTTTAAACCAATATGTATTGTGGCAGAAATTGAACTCTTTATTTATTTGCAATGGAACTGTCATAACACTATTTGAGGAGTGCCCAGTAGTATTTTAGAAGACTTTATAAGCTGTTTGAAGCTCTTTCTCTTTATTTTTTTTTTTGAAATACAAGAGGCTGTACATATTTAATATATACAACTTGGTGAGCTTGGAGATAAAGGAAACCATCGCCACAATCTATGCAGAAACACATCCATCACCTCTAAAATTTTTCTGTGGCCCTCTTTATTCATTATTATTTTTTTGTGATAAGAACTCTTAACACGGGCGCCTGGGTGGCTCAGATGGTTAAGCGTCTGCCTTCAGCTCAGGTCATGATCCCAGGGTCCTGGGATCGAGTCCCACATCAGGCTCCCTGCTCCTTGGGAGCCTGCTTCTCCCTCTGCTTCTCTCTCTCTCTCTCTCTCTGTCTCTCATGAATAAATAAATAAAATCTTTAAAAAAAAAGAACTCTTAACACAAGATCTACCATCTTAGAACATTTTTAAGTCTGCAATACAGTATTGTTAACTACAGCTTTGTGCTATACAGCAGATCTCTAGGACATAATTATCTTGCATAACTTAGAATTTTGTACCATTTGATTAATTAAGCTCTTTCTCTTTAAAAGCAGGGAACCACAAATTATCCCAATATGCTTGGATACCACTGGCTTGGAATTTGCTGGAATTTTAGAAATTTGTGTCTCGTGTTCAAGGTTCATAAATAGTCTTCATTGCTAAAATGAGTCCTGACCAACAAATGACATCATTGCGACTTTAGAGAAATTGCCCCAGAATAAATTCAGAGTGACCAAATTCAAACACTGCCAACACTCTGGTTCATGTCTTACCTTTGGTCTCAATGACATTGATGCACTTCCTAACAAACTTGAACCCCACTTCATTCAGCTCCACTGTTTCAAACAAAGGAAAACAGAGTTAGATCCTGCTATAACAAGCTTTACCTACCAAACATTTATTGATCATGCTAAGAGACTGCAATGAGAGAATAAGGGGTATGGTTTTTCATCTCCAATACCCTTAAATGGAAAGATCTTTTTTTTTCCCCCCTCAGGGGAAGAATAGAGCTTTTACTCTTATAATACAAAATGCTTTTAGTGATTCCATTGTATTATGTTTGTTTTAGACATGAGCAACATCAAACATGAAATGTTAGGGTGGAAATCCACATAATTTCTATCATGTGTTTAGAACAAGAAAGATATAATGTTATTCTCTATATTACTATTACTACCCACACCATAAGCTAAGATAAAGTGACTTCCTTATTTCAATAAGTAGACATATTAAAAAAATAGGTCTGAATTTTATTCCACACAGAGGAATCAATAAACACACTTGCATCAATATTACATATTATTGATGATAATATTAACTGTGATTAGGACAGCTAGCAGTTTGTAATGTCAATAGATCATAAATTTGACTCACTTTCTTCCTGTTTTGTTATGGGGCTGTGGTAGATCTACAAAAGAAGAGAAAGAAAAGGCCATGGCTATTGGGAATCACTATAGGTAAGTATGGCGAATAATACTAAATCTCTTTCCCCAGATAGTCCATCAAAACCATTAGCGACTCTAAAGCTTTAGTAAGATGAAAAAGTGGGCTAAACAGAATGATCTTTGCCTAGGTCCCTAGAAAACACTTGGATTAACAATCTCTGAAGACTACAGCAAATTCCAAGTAGCTCACTGCAGCCTACCCATCTTAGAGATTTACTTATGTAAAGCTTGGAGAATTTTTCTGATGGAGCAAGAGAGCATGAGAGAAAAGAAATAGTTTTCTAATGGATATATGGCTAACGGACATTGATGGTAAAATGTAAATGTTCCCAATACCAACCTCCTACCCCAAAGGCTAACTAATGGGTGTTTCTCTGTAGAAAAGCAAGTGTCCAACTGAAAGAGATCCATGCATTGATCAAGATTTGTCTGAGTCATATTGAAGTACACACTGTGACAGCTGTGTGAGAAACCAAAGAGGAGATCCTTGACGAAGTCTAGTCCAGGCTCCACCTCTACCCCATTATGAAATCTCGGGCGTGTCCTTTTCATTCTCTACACTTCAAAATTAAGATCTCTAAAATGATCAGGATTGGAGTAGATGTCCCTTCAAGTCCTGATCTTCTCTGACACTTTAAACAAAGGCATGTATACTATGTATAAGATTAGTGAATTGAGGTATTTAGTAAATCAGCAACAATAATAATGTGAGACTGCAGGAAATAAGCCTTCTATATGGTATCTGTTAGTCTGCTTTAACAATCTCTCCTTTTAAAAGAAAATTATCTGCATCTGTGTGTATGTCCATGGATATTTCAATGAGGGAGATTTCTATGCTGACCAGCCCTTGCTGCCACTTTTATAAACAAGATATTTGTGGGGGCGTCTGTGTGGCTCAGTCATTAAGCATTTGCTTTTGGCTCAGGTCATGATCCCAGGATCCTGGGATCAAGCCCCGCATCGGGCTCCCTGCTCAGCGGGAAGCCTGCTTCTCCCGCTCCCGCTCCCCCTGCTTATGTTCCCTCTCTCTCTGTGTCTCTGTCAAATAAATAAATAAAAAAAAATAAACAAGATATTTGTGGAAAGTCTATCATAATCAAGTTGTTAAGGATCCACATTCAGTGGACCTGTATTCTAACGTCATTCTCCACAAAAAGCAATCTGCATCCTTTGACCATTAAAACCTAAAGAGAGAACAAGTTCAGAAGAGGGAATCAAGAATATAATGCTCTGCTGAGCCTCCCACCATCTTCCTAGAGAAACATCAAAGGCATGCAATAGTTAAACTTCTTGGGTGCTATAAATGCAATCTGAGATCTGGGTACTCCTCTTTAGTCTCCGGGGCACTGAGGAGACACAGAAAGAAAACCCTGGAGTATATTTCCCCCTCTTAGCACATTCTTGCCTTGAATAAAACAAGATTAGACTATATCCAAATATTATTGAATCTCAGTAGCTTTGCACTCTTTCTTCAGCCCAGTTAGAAGCACCTAAAACTAATATAGCACATTATGGTTGACAGACTTCCATTCATTTGATTTTACAAAGCAACTCTGTGAGGTTAGTAGAACAGATTATTAAACCCATTTTACTGAAGAGAAGAAAACTGAATCTCAGAGAGATGGAATAACTTGCTCAAAGTCACACAACCACTGAATGGCACAACAAAGATCCAAATTCAGGCTTTTGGAATTCCAACACTAGTTAGGTGATATTAGTTCATATGCCACTAGAAGAAACCTACATGGAAGATACTAAAGAGAAAAAATGCTTTTTCCTCGTTTCTGACTCTTCATATTGGTCTTTCTATGACAGTCACTAAAACTTTTAAGGTACTGTTTGTCCTCCTATGTAACAATGTTCTAAACGGACCGGTACATCTTGGGATATAGGATGGCAGTACCATCTTCCCCAACAGCTGTACCCTTAAAGAGAATAATCTTGGGAATGTACGATGGGGGCAGCAAAACCAATTTGAATAAAATCTTAACAAATGCTTATTCAGTTATGACAATTATTTTCAATCTTTCTATATGAACACATATGTTTTATAAACTGAAAAAAGGCTTAATTTTCTTAAGAAGATCTTGTGGGCACAGCTGCATCATCTAGCACTGCAGCAAGAAGCTGAGAAACCTGGATTCTAGGCCCAGCTGTTATGCCTTTTGTGAGAGTAATTCCAGAGAAGTCCCTCACCCTCTGGAACTCAAATTGCCTTACTTTTTAAGCAAGAAATATCAAGTCAACAATTCCTTCTAGCTCTAAAATTTTGAGTCTGATGATCTGACTATTTAATTGTCCTAGACCCACCAGTACCACTAAGGGCACTCACACACTGGATTATGGTGCTGAGGTTTCTCTAGCATCCTGAGGTAACTTACAGGTTCTTTTCCATCCATGGCCTCCATCCATAGCCTTCTGTTAGCTTCTGAGAGGGCCTGCAAAGTGATGGTTCCTGGCCTAAGGGGAAAAAGATGACAAGTTAAAAGTAGAAAACTCACCTGAGAAAATGAAGTCTTGTGATCTAGGGTCCCTCTCAGCCCTGGGAGGTGTCACACTGAGCAGGCACATACAGAATTCCAATTTTTCAAAATCTCTTTTACTCAAAAAAAAAAAACAATGAAACATTTAGAGAACAGTAACGTTGGGAACCCTAGGGGAGATGGTATCTTGGCAGCCTCATGCCAGGGTCAGGCAAGGAAATAGGAAGGTAGATCCCAAGACACCTCACCAGAATACACACTTAAATTGGCTCCATTGTACTTGAGAGAAACCGTGGCTCTCTTTGCCTTTCTTAGAAGCCAGCAGTTTGGTCTGGGCTCTAGGAGTAAGCATGTTCAGCATGGGCACATTCATCCATCAAAAAAAAAAAAAAATGGCTTTCCTACTTCCCCCATCTATGATGTCCAAAGAGTATTTCCAGCTGGAAAGAATTCAACAACATGCACACTAGCTCAGCACAGGGAGGAGGCCTTTTGGCTGACTTAAGCAATCTTATGACTAAATAATAACAGTTACTGAATGCTCATTAGGAACCAGGTTCTGTTCTAAGTACTTTATAGGTATAAATTCATGTCATCTACCCAGGAACCTATAAAGCAGGTACCATACAGGAATCCCTATTTTACAAAAGGGGAAACTGAGGCACCGAGTTGTTCCCTAAGTTCACACAGTGGGTAAGTATAGAGCCAGGATTTAAATTTAGGAATTCTGGTTCAACAGCCATGTTCTTTCTTAACCACCATGCTACAAGGCCTTTTCTCCATCAGAGATGGCCTCAAACCCATTTTTTTTTTTCTATTTACTTGTAGGCTACCTATAGCCAGAGATACTCCAAGTTGGTATACTCTGTATGGTCTTTTTAGACTTTCACAACCAAACTGAGAATTCCAGATTGACCATATTATTGCAGATATAAAGTCTCCTTGCATTATCTGTATATCTGCACCATTATGAGAAACTGGTTCCTCTTAACTCCTTCTGTTAAGACCTCTCTCAGAGTCATGGAATGGTAAGAACAATGACAAAAGAGTTCAGAGAGCCTGGAAAAGCAACTGGGTCGCTATGGGCCTCAGTTTCTTTATCCATAACGGTGTTGGACCAGATGAGCTGGGAGGTCCCTTCCAGTTTTGATACCATGGGATTCCTATTTGACGTTCCATCTTTTACTCCATTAAAGTACATCTTAAAAAGGAAAACCCCCAAATGATCTTTAAGACAAAATCAACTGAAAACCAGAACTTGGCTTTGGGCACTGGATTCTTTCAAGTTTACTCTTCTCTAACAAATAACCAACTTTTTGGATATATCACATGGGGCTAGCAAGTCTAGAAATCTTTGTAAAGACAGCTACCCAGCTGAATCCTGAAGCCAGAGGAAGAACAAGGAAATGGGCAACAGATATAAAAGCAGACAGTACAGACCAGATATGACATTAAACACATTCTGGAACTCAGCTTCCCTATCTAGGAAATGAAAAATCCAGTGCGTGTCTTCTCTTAACCTTACAGAGAGGCTGAAAGAATGAATAAGTGACTATTCAAGAAGCATTTGAAGATTCTTGGGTGCCACAGAAAGTCAAATTCACAGAATAATATTTATAAGAACAGGATGACAAAGTAGAAAGAACATTGACTTCTAGTCCAGGATCTTCCATTGACTATCTTTATGACCTTAGGCAAATCCCCTGCCCTTCCTGAGGTCCCAGTCACTCATCCAGAACAAAAAGACATATATAGCATATATGCAGTACAGAGCAATGGTCAAGAGTGTGGGTTTGAAGACTAGAATTCCTGGATTTGGATCCTGGCTCTACCATTTGCTGTGTTACCTAAGTTGCTTAATTTCTCCCTGTCTCCTTGTCCTCCTTTGTGAAATTGGGATAACATCCCATACCTCATGGAACTTAGTGAGGATTAAACGAAATTATACTCTTCAAGGGCTGAGAATAGTGCCTGGTACATAGGCCAATGTTAGCAGTTGTTGTTAGGTTATTATTATTATTATTATTATTATTATTATTGCACTTCAAGTTCTATGAGCTATAAGCCTGTGGTTTCAAATATTGGCAGCAAATCTATTTATTTTTTTAAAGATTTTATTTAATAAAGAGACAGAGAGAGAGCACAAGCAGGAGGAGCGGCAGGCAGAGGGAGAAGGAGAAGCAGGCTTCCTGCTTAGCAAGGAGCCCAACGTGGGGCTTGATCCCAGGACCCCAGGATCATGACCCGAGCCAAAGGCAGAGGCTTAACCAACTGAGCCACCCAGGCACCATGGCAGCAAAACTAATTGAAAAAAATAGTTACCCTCTACTCCTGAGATAGTAAAAGGAACTGAACTCAAAGAGTCCTTAGCTCTCTGTGCTGCAGGGACATGAGTATAGGTGACTGATGCTTGCTGGGAATGCTGACTTTGTTTCTTATATCAGATTTACTATCCAGGAAAGCAGATGCCACACTCTTCACAAAACTTCATGCGCACAGAGGTACATCAGCACCTGTTCATTATTATATTTGACCCTTTATTTCACAGCATGTTTATTCTCCTTATAAGACAATGGAGCAAAATTAAAAAAAAAAAAACATGGACTTTGGAGACCTACAAACAAGCGTTTGCACTCGTGACTTTGGGCAAGTAACTTAACATATTCAAGTCTCAGTCTCCGCACCAGTAAAATGGGGGAGGGGAATTAAGTGAGTGAATGTTTTTTAAGAGCCTAATATGTGGTAACTAAAATCAAAGACACACCAAAACTTTAATTCCTGGGTTCTAGTCTCAGAATTCCTCAGTGTTATGGGGTGGGAAAATACATTTAAAAATAAACACCAAATTTAGTACCTATCAGGAGCCATGCATAGCATTAGGTGCAAGATATATGATGATAAACTGGTCCCAGCACGTTATCTCAGGGCCAAATTGTCTGCAACTGCTTTAAGTCTATGGGGATATTATTTGCAAATAGCTTGCAAATTTAAGCTTAAAAGGGAATCAGAATGAAACTAGACACAGATAATTTTAATTTCTTTTAAGCACCTTGATGCTACAGAGCGAGAGACAATAAAGGTTCATGAAAGAGAAGCCACAGCCAATAGTTATTTTTTGCAGTAAACAGGAATATAGTTCCCCCTTCCAACTAGGCCTGAAGCTGTTGGAAAAATGAGGGACAGCTGCATGGTTACCAGTAACAATGTTTACTATCACAACCATCTTTGGTCAGGACCATCCATTTCTAACAAAGAAGTCATATGGATTAACAAACAGAATTTCAAATGGGGAAAAGGACTTTTTGCTTATTTCCAGACTAAAATAAATAAATAAATAAAAGCCCTCATCTCTTAGTATAATCTTTATGATTCCAGTCCTTGATAGTTTAGTTCATATGATATCCTAATTCAACCTTTAAGTCCCTTTCTAGGAATCTGACCGTTTTGTTAAATTCTATTCTATTATGTGGTACCTAACACATAGAAATAATAGACCGAAATAACGTATAGGAACATTTATTCACTGAATTTTGGATCAACCTCTCAACTACATAATATGCTTTTCTCCAAAGGAACTCCAAATGCTCTCATTTTAAAATTTCAAGGTTAAATTCACCTCTGATAAAACTGCCCAGTTCCAGAAAACAAAAAGAGGGTACTGGAGAGAAACAAATGCAACAAAGTACAAAGTCTGAAAGCCTTAGCTGAAATCAGAAAGTTGATAATCAAACTATTTCCAGTATACCTGCAAAGTAGGGGTAGTCTGTATCATGTTTGCACCAAGTGGGGAAAAAAGACTCCCCAATACCACTACCATCTTCCATCCCTTCTATCTCCCCTTAAAAATGTGTTTTAATTAACTCGTTCTTGTATGTTATGTTAGGAGATAAAAGAATGAGTTTTGCTGAATGGGAGAAGATACTTGCAAATGACATTACGGATAAAGGGCTAGTATCCAAAATCCATAAAGAACTCATCAAACTCAACACCCAAAAACCAAATAATCCAGTTACGAAACGGGCAGAAGACATGAATAGCCATTTTTCCATCGAAGACATATATCCAGATGGCCAACAGACACATGAAAAGATGCTCAACATCACTATCATCAGGGAAATGCAAATCAAACCCACAATGAGATACCACCTCACACCTGTCAGAATGGCTAAAATTAACAACACAGGAAACAACATGCATTGGCAAGGATGCTGAGAAAGGGGAACCCTCTTACATTGCTGGTGGGAACGCAAATTGATGCAGCCACTCTGGAAAACAGTATGAAGGTTCCTCAAAAAGTTAAAAATAGAGCTACCCTATGATCCAGCAATTATACTCCTGGGTATTTACCCAAAGGATACAAAAATACCGATTTGAAGGAATACATGCACCCTCATGTTTATAGCAGCATTATCAACAATAGCCAAATTATGGAAAGAGCACAAGTGTCCATCGACTGATGAATGGATAAAGAAGATATGGTGTACACACACACGCGCGCGCACACACACACAGGAATATTACCTGGCCATGAAAAAGAATGAAATCTTGCCATTTGCAACAACATGGATTGAGCTAGAACACATTACGCTAAGTGAAATAAGTCAGTCAGAGAAAGACAAATGCCATATGATTTCACTCACGTGGAATTTAAGAAGCAAAACAGTTGAACATAGGGGAAAAAAAGAGAGGCAAACCAGGAAACAGACTCTTAACTATAGAGAACAAACTGGGGTTGCTGGGGGGGGAGGTGGGGGGGTGGGTTAAATGGGTGATGGGCATTAAGGAGGGCACTTGTGATGATGAGCACTGGATGTATGTAAGTGATGAGTCACTAAATTCGACTCCTGAAACTAATATCATACTATATGTTAACTAACTGGAATTTAAATAAAAACTTGATACTACAAAAAAAAAAAAGAAGAATGAGTTTTGTTATGCTGTCTTTGCAGCATCACCAAATGTTGACTGTTGCAGCATATCTCATAGCAAATTAAATCCCAGGAATGACTTGTTCTGCCTAGAGCAGGTGAGGCAAAGCTGGCTGAAGTCCCCACAGGGAAAACAAGCTCTGGGCCAGGTCTAACAGGGATTCCTGTGAATAGCAGCCAGAAGAGCCAAAACAGTAATGTCATGAACAGATTTGCTCATTTTCATCACGAGAGAGGACAGAAGAAGATAAAAGATCTACTCAGGCTCAGCACCTGGCACATGAGGACATTACCAGTTCATACCAGCACAGCTTACCTTTCATTAGTTTCTATATCAAAACAGAACCTTTTGTCGATAGACTCTGTCTTCCTCCTCACGCAGTACTTCAGGGTTAAGTCCAAAGGCCCCTGATATAAGAGAAGGATTAATAGCCAGTTTGAAAAGAAAATGCACAGAAGCTTCTTCTGCCTCCTGCAGTAGCCTCAGCCACTTGGAAGGCATCTGTCAGGGCAGCAAGAGTAATGTTTAGCCTCACTGAGAACCTTGTCCCTTCAAACAGTATCTGCAGCAGATGGTTTCTTCTTGCTCCAATAATTAATGGTTGAGACCAGGACAAAATGCTCGGGATAGGTCAGTACTGTTTTCCAAGCATGGTAGATTAAATAGGAAGCTAATTATACATAATATCAGGGGAATGTAGGACAAATGGGTTGACCAAATGGCATTAAGTGTATTGAATAAAATTTTCATGAAACTTCCAGGTTGGGAGTGGCTTTATGCGACCCTCCTTCTATTAAATTGGCAGATGGAGGAGGGGAGAGAAACATTTTCATTCCCCACCTCCAGACTCTTCAGGAAGACAGGAATCACAAAAGCAATCTCTCCAAAGATAGGGCAGGAGTAGAGAAAATGAGCAAATTTATATATTACTCAAAGTTCCATTTGATATTTCATATATGCAGAACGGTGTAGCCCACCTTAGTCTTATGGGCACTTAATAAGGCCATTGAAGTCCACTGTGTCCACAGATTAAAATTTCCCAATCCCACATTGTTCAGTTTCCCTCTATTATCTCAGCAGAGACAATGTGGTATAGGAAAGAGAAGTAAGATTTATCAATTACCTACTATTTGCCACACATTATGCTAGGTATCTTTAAATCAACTTTCTTCATAACAACCCTTAGAACGAAGTGAAGCTCAGAGAGGTAAAATGGCTTACCCAAAGTCAACCAAGTCAGTATAGTAGAAATAGTAATAAGCTAGGAAGTTTAAAACCTGGGGTTTTGTCTCAGTTATGCCATTTACTAGCTTACAATCCAGGGCAAATCGTTTTCCCCTCTGAATCTTAACTTCACAATCTATTAAATGGGGAAAATGCTAGCCACCTAGCTGCCAGAAATTCAGAAACACTTCCCAAGTGCCAGGTCTGGGTCTAGGTACTATGCCATCCAAACTGGTCCATACAGTTGATCCAACTGATCAAACAATACTTCTTTTTTTATTTTATTTTATTATTATGTTCAATTAGCCAATATACAATACATCATTAGTTTTTGATGTAGTGTTCAACAATTCATTAGTTGCATACAATACTTCTTTCTTATTGGCACACTCAACCCCCTTTCGGGCCTATCCTTTTGCTGTTCCTACACTATAAAAACTCAACTCTAATTTCATTCTTCAATCTGCCTTCTTTACCCCAATACTGAGGGTATCAAGAATTACTAGACTTTCAAGATGACAGTAACTTAACAGCATTATACACTCACCCTCCCTCTTTAAACTCTCAGCTCCCTCAGAGTCAAAGGCATCATAGCTCAGGGGCCTAGGCCCTGTCTATTACTCCAGGTTACCTCTAGCCACCCCCATCTGTTTCATGCTTCATCCGTGCAGAAGTGCTCTCACTGCACACATGTCATAACTCTCATGATTCCATAACTGTAAATAATGTTTCCTCCACCTGCAATGACTTTATCTATATTCTTGGTCTGGCTAAACTCTCAATTGTTCTACAAACTGCAGTTCAGCTTTCATTTCCTCCAATATTCTTCCCCAATCCCATGCACTGTTCACTATGTGTTTTGTGCATTATATTAAAACTTCCTGTTTTCATGCCTTATTTCCCCAATTGACTGAGAACTCAAGGGCATGGGCAGCATCTTATTTATCTTTATATCTCTAGGATCTAGGAAAGAGTTAGTGCCCAAGAAATTTTTATGAACTACAGTATCATTCTTGCCATTTTCCTGATGAGGAAAATGATACTGAGTAACATTACATAATTTACTTGGGGTCAAAAAGCCACTAGGCCACAGAGCTAGGATTTAAACCCAATTGTTGAAAGTCTATAAAAATACAGCACTCTTTCCTCTTACCACAACTGCCTGACAGGTAAATGATGGGGATCTTATAAAACATAATTTGGGAAGATAACCTGTAAAATGAGCAGCACAACACAAGTGGAAGTTGATAGGCTGAACTAGTAGGGAACACTGGTAAGTACCATAGTCACAAAGAGGGCTAATTCTGCCATCTTCAAATTGAACTATTAATACTTGCCAGGGCTACTGGGAAAGTAAATGAAGCACATGCTGAAAAGTGTCTAGCTCAGTGCCTGGCACACAGTAGATGTTCAATAAATAGTGGATTTTATGGTGTTATTACAGTCTCACTTATTTGTATTATTTACCTTTCTAAAACACAAACCAGTAATAGGAACTGAGAGAACTGACAAGAAGAAATTATTTCCAGCTTCATTTTAGGGAAATTCAAGTTACTACTTTACCTTCCCTTCCTTCTAAATAGAGAAACAAGTTCCTCTTTCCACTCCATAAGGAATCCCATATTAAAACTGCTTAGGCTGACACTATTGCAATTTTACAAGCAGCCACTCAATGAAAAGGGAAGAAGGAAAGAAAAACTAAAAGGAGAGCTTGTGCTCATCTCGTAGGAGGATATGAAAGTGATACGTCCGCTTCTGTCTTGAGCTTTGTAGTAGGTGCCTGAGCAGGGGAAAAAGGGCCTAAATCAGCTTACTTTAAAGTCTGGGACTGGGAAAGTAATGTGTGTAGAAGAAAAGGAAGGAATTACAGGACAGTGCTTATAAGCACTAGCCAGTAAAATACATAGCTAAGTTCTGACAGAAATGGAAAAAATTCTGTGATAGAGCACAAGATAAATTTATTGAAACCACAATGAAAGGTACTTTGGCAATTACCAGACTGGAAACTAGTAAGAGTTTTGGAGTCAGGAATGAGCAACTGGCCCACAGAGAAGCATGGATGAGGCTTCTGGAAACCCCATTTGGTACACTTCATTAGAGGTGCCTTCCATCTCCAATACACGTTAAAAGCCGAGTGACAAAATTTTTGGTTAAAGACAAAAACGCAGTTTTCTATAGCCTGACATCAAATTTCAGTCCTCTCTCATTTTCTGTGAACAAGCCACACAGGAGAGATCTTCCATGGAAAGCACCAGCAATGGAGACAAACCGGTCCAATTTTTCTCCAAATTTCTGCCTAACAAATTGGGTCTTCTCGCACCACCAACGTTCAGTGCTCACAAATGAACCCTGCTGGACTTTGTAAACAATTTGTAAAGAATAGAAATCCTTAAAATCATGCCTTAAGACCCAGTCTACAGTCTGAGGGACAGTTTAAGGTACACACTAAACTACTTTTAGAATATGAACAGTCTATCTATCAGCTTTTATCTTAATAAACCCTTGAGAGAGAGAGACGGAGAATTCCCAAAGCCTCTACAAAGATAGGCAAAAGTGAGATTCACAGAATACCATTTTTGGGCTGTGTGGTCATATATATAGTAGAGTACAGTAAGTAATGTGTAAGATTGGGTTCTTCCAGGTGAGTAACTCGCTTCTTAGTGTGTTCAACTCATCTTGACATTTTAGGGCATCAGGAAGGCTTGGAGGACAGAAGAAGTATTAGCTGCTTCAATATATCCGAACATTACACAGAATATGGGGTATAGGTTATTCCAACCTTAGGAAACAGACATACTTCTCTAAAAAAGGAATTTTGGAAAATGGTATTTGAAACTATTTAAAGGAATCCTAAGAATCCTAAGAAGTAGAGACTTCTTAAAAGCAGGTAACACTATCTTCCTGCAATTCGTCCATATACTTGCAAATTTTCTTGTACAATGGACAAGCCCTTGTAATAATTTAATAAATGATCTGAGAAAGTACAAGCACTTTCAGAAGGCTTGACATAATTAATAGATATATTTCACTCAACTGAGTAGTATCTGGCCCAATGCAAACTTAGGTCAAGAGGAACATACAGAGTCATGGCTTCACATGACAGTGTTGGACTTGATTCTTTGACACTAAGTCAAGATATACTCTTTTCTGAGATGCAGTCACAGATGCATTTCAAAAAAATATGGCACACAAAAGAACTGACCTGTTTAGCACCTGGCTTTTGCTCCATAGGTGTCATGGTGAGCGTTTTGGTCTCCTTCTCATACTGGCAGTAATATTTCACCCAGGATATTCCCAAAGCCCCTACAATGATAGGCAAAAGTGAGCTGACAGACTATATCCATTTGGCTATATGGTCAATACACTCCTAAGATGGAAATGCTATAGTCTGCTCTTCATAGTCATAGGGCTTCAGATCTAGCTCTAACCTTCCCCTGAACTCCAACCCTGTGGGCTATCGACCCACAGCACATATAGGGATCCTAATCCTCATTAAATGCTTTCCACATTTGCTCTAGCATGCTCCAAATAGCTCTCCTTGCCATGTCCCTTCTAAATGCTTCTACTGTTCATCCTATTGTATGAGTTGTATGAGTTGTATGATGTTTCCAAAAACATCTGTAATCTTCTGCTTCTTCTTCCCTGTAACCTGTCCCATTTGATTGGTGGTCGGGTTCTGCTCATTCTTTTCCCCACATGTCTCTCCTTCAGCTGCTTCCTCCTCTCCATCCCTTTTAGGACTGAATTAGTTCAGGGCCCTATTGCTGAATTACTTGTAATGTTTTATGATCTACTTCAAACAAAATAAAAACTCACCATTTCACTAATTAATTATGACAGTGGCCTTCTCTCTGATTTCCCCCATTTCTGATCACTCCTTTCTAGTCCATTCTCCATTCTTTAGTGAAAGGAATATTTTTTAAATACATATTTCTCTTTATATAATTTTTCTTATAAATCATGCATGGCTTTCCCACTGTCTCTAAACTCAGGCTGGCCCATAAGACCCTTCATAATATGATATTTACCTTTCCTACTTTGTCTTTTGCCACCCTCTATGGTCCTGTCTCACTGAATTACTTTCACTTACCAAATAAATAGGTGGCCATATATTTTTAGTCCAAATTCAATACATACTTAAGAGTGAATGGGTCACTATTAATAATTACATCAGGATGACAAGTGTAAACCAGGGCTGTTCTTGGCAAACTAAGACCCTGCAAATAAACTACATCCTCACACACCTTTGTGCCTGAGTAACATGCAATGGTGTATAACTGGAATTTTTCTTCCCCCCATTTTTTGCCTATCAAACTTCCACTCATAATTCAAGTCCTAATTCAAACATTGCTTCCTCAGTGAAGCGCTTAGATATATGCCCCAAATGCAGTACTCAACACATTTCCTTATAATTCTTGATATAGTTGTCTGCCTTCTTCATCAGACTATGAACTTCTTGGAGGCAAAACCAAGATTGGTTCATTTTTTTCAAAATCCCCAATGCACTGCATATTGTCTGGCAAAAAGTATGCTCAATAAACAGTCAACTGAATAGCAACGTCATATCCATTTGACAAATTAGAAAACTGGAGCACAGAAGGACCATGTAGCTAGTTGATATTACAGCCAAGATTACAAAATCATTATTCCCACATCTTTTATAATATAGTAGTAGTTCTCAACCAAGGGCAATTTTGCCAAAGAGATATTTGGCAATGCCTGGAGACATTTTAGATTGTCACACCTATAGAGTGTTCTTAGAGTAAAGTGAGGACAGGCCATAGATGCTGCTAAATACCCTACAATGTACATGATGCCCCAGCCCAAAACGTCAGCCCAAAGTATCAGTTGCACTGAGATTGAGAAATTCTGCAATGCAGAGTTGAAGAGATAAACCTGAAAGGTGGAAGAACATATCTTTGAAAACCACCAAAAGTTAATTTCTCTAAGAGAAGAAAAGATGATAAGATCATTGCTTAAATGCCATGCTTTGTGAATTGCAGTAGTTTTTCAAACTGGTAACATCTGAATAGCCTCTTTTGCCTCTTCTTCTCAGGTACAATAATTCTGGCAGGGCTGAAATCACAGGCTTTGAGAGCATCGGGTCATAGTTCATAAGGAAAATCAAAGAGCACATACAGATTTTCATAATGTAATTTAGGAAGCAGGAAGGCTTAAATACTCTGCAATATTCAGTGAATGGGTAAGTTAACCCGTGGTCCTTGGTTAGCAATGACCAACTGTCTTGCTCACTGAAATCACAATGGTTGTTGTTTAGTGCTTTAAGAGCAAACATGTGCTCCTAAGGCAGTGGAAGGTACAGGGTGTAGTGACAGGAGCATAGGTTTTGGCATTTCAGAGAAGTGAGTTTACTCTTAGGCTTGCTACTTGATAGTTGGTTGGGTAACTTTCTTTTTTTTGCCTTTTTTTTTATTATGTTCAATTAGCCAACATAGAGTTGGGTAACTTTCAACTAGTGATCTCTCTAAGCCTCCGTGGCCTCAAGTAAAATGGGTATGATAAGCGTTTTTAAAGATTAAATGAGACAGTATATTTAAAGCACTTAGCACCATGCCTGGTACATAGTAGGTGTAATAAATATTATTTTTCTGCCTCCTTTCCCCTACCTCCTTTTTTTCCCCCAGTCACAGTCATCAGAAGGATTAAATAATTAACAATCCCCATTTTGAATCACAGAGAAAAACCTTAGATCTTATCATCCCAAAGTCTTTGGAAGACAAATCCTTAACCTCCCCCTCCAATTTCTCCTTCCTTTTCTTTTTTTCACTATTCCCAGACTCTTCTCCAAAGAGGTGTAGTTGTCAGGGGTCTGTAAACAATATGGGTGCCAGGAGTTTGGAGAAGCCAAGTGGCAGTAGGTGCTAGCCTACTGAAACCCAGTGGGTATCCTTGTATTCCCACACACATTTCTCTTGTGTATAGAGATAGCCTTCGATGGTAGGCTGTCCTGGAAGTTTGCATGTCTGGGGAGCTTCTTTCATCCTTTTCTTAAGTTCTTCCATCTCTTCCCGGGTACTGGAGAAATGATTTCTTGTCTGTGAAGATATTATCATTGTCACTATTATCATTATCACCATCATTACTAAAAAGCACTTATTGGTCATAGATGCAGTTCAGAGTTTTCTTGGTTTGCATATTATGTTACAACATAGCAAAAAAAAAAATGTAGAATAACATAGTGACTAGAAAACAATTTTATGGAGTTTAACAGTGCTGAAGACTAAAAGGCAAACAGAAACATAAATAGCAATATAAACATAAAAACACATCTGGGAGAATTTTTATTCTAATGGGAATCACATAAGCCAATAAATAAGGGTTCTTAGAATTCTGAGCACCAAACTGAACTCGGCTTTACAGGATGGGAAATTGTAAAGAAGGTTTCCAAAGATAATATTATCATGGCAACTTCTAAGCTCTGCCTCAAGTAAAGTTACTGCCTACTTGACTCTGAACCAAATTCCGGCTATTAGGATAAAATACATGACAAGGTGCTATCTTTGAAGACAGGTCAATAGAAAAGTTATGTTTTCATTTCCATGAATAACAAAAGCTAATGGTAAGAAGAAATCTATTTAAACCTACACCACTAAAACACAATAGCAAAACACTGCTTGAAATGTGAGTATGAAAATCACTAAAGATAGGTCCTTAGTGTCCAGCCTCAAGACTGTTAGATCAGTCAAAAAGGTGATCTGAACTACCTTATCTTGTTGGGCCCACTCTATTGATTATCCTGTGAATGAGTTCATCATATACACAGATACAAAGCGTTGTTATTAAACTCATACTTTTCAAGTTCTATTTGGAGGAAGATTCAAATGATTAACCTGGTTACAGGAATATTTTATAAATCCATAGAAGTCAGGGGCTCTCACATTCTGGTGAAGGTGAGTACCCAGAAAGAAACAAAACAACTCTAAGTCAGGATCCTCCTAAACAACCAGGTGAGGTTTATTTCCACTACCAACCATATTACCAACCTTTTTCATATAAAAATACAGATTTTATGCAATGCAACTAGTCCACAGTCACTATCTCAGTGATGCCTTCTCTAACTGTGCCAAGCAGTCAAATGTTCCACTTTCTGTGCTTCCTTCAAATTGTTGGTCTTAACACTATTGAAACGCTTATCACAAGGAATTATGATGTGTTCCAGTGTTTATGTCTCTTTCCTGTTCCCTGAGGAAAGAAAAACTAACGTACTTCATTATGGTATGTCCATGTCTGGCACAGAGTATATATTATATCCATAACCATTCATTAAATGTGGGTTAAATAAACAAATGAGAAAAAATATATATGTTACAAAGATGGGAAGGTGGTGCCTATGGCCATCTACAAAAACCAGCATGGGAAAGAAGGTGAATAAAACCTTTATATATAATTTATTTAACTCTAGTAATTAATGAGAAAAGGAAGAGAGGGGAAAATGGGCATTCACGTTCATAAAACTCACAAGTGCCTTGACTGACCAACACGGAAGTAGCATAAGATCTGTGCTTAAACAAGCCCATAGCTGGGTTCTGATCAAAGAGGGATGCAGTAAATTAGCAACATTTAATATTTATTGGATAAATAGAGGTGTCAGTGGGTGGAAGGGTAGGTTTGAACAAGAATAAGCCTCAGGGGCACCTGGGTGGCTCAGTTGGTTAAGCAACTGCCTTCGGCTCAGGTCATGATCCTGGAGTCCCAGGATCGAGTCCCACATCGGGCTCCCTGCTCAGCAGGGAGTCCACTTCTCCCTCTGACCCTCTTCCCTCTCGTGCTCTCATTCTCTCTCTCTCAAATAAATAAATAAATAAATAAAATCTTAAAAACAAAACAAAACAAAAAAAAACAATAAGCCTCAAAGACTGGTAAGAGTTGAAACTGGAAGAGCAAGCACACTAAAATATTTATGATCCACACTAGTATGTCCTGACAAATTGGCTAGAATGCAATAAGCTGGGATTTCAAGGTCAAGGTCATTGGGGCTGAAATACAATTGGAATGTAGGGACAGGTAAAGAAACCCACATGCAAACTCACATTCTGCAAACTGAGCTGGAGCTGCTGTTTGTATGGGAGAAAATCCTGTGTGAGCTCCACAGTCAAGCTGTTGGAAATGAAGAGACTATGAAGAAAGGCCAACACCTAGGGAAAATGTATAAAAATAACTTTATCACCAGTACCTTCTCATTACCAAATAAAGGAAAAAGAAACATGGAAAAGAAATTCCACATACCGAGTACAGTGTTAAAAGTAATCGTGAAAACACAAACAGGTCTACACATAGCTATTCTTTTATTAAACATTTACATTGAACTTAGTTCCAGAATATAAGAACTACTAAAAATGTATTCATTCAGATCCTTTCCAGATAGCATATAAAACCATTCATAGTTTGGACCATATGGGAATAGATTGTGTATTTTCTCTCTATATCCTCAGAATTGGCACAGAGTAGGTACTCAATATTTGTTGAATAAATAGATAAGTGAATAAATGAGTAAAGTAAGATTCTGTACTCTAATGAAGACTGCCCTAATGCTAAAAGATTCAAAGAGTATGAGCCCATTTTCAAATCAGAAATGTTTCAGAGGGGTTTCAGAATAAGACATACAAATGATCAATAAAATTTTTTTAATGTTCCAAATATTCAACCTCATTAATAATTAAATACACAGAAATAAAAACAATGAAAATATGATTTAATCTATGAAATACAAACCTTTAAACAATAATGCTCAATTCTGGCAATAGTGAAGTGTAATAATAGGAAGTAGTAATAACTGCTCTACTCATTTTAGAAAATAAGCAGGTAGGTATATGTAAATATGCACACAGATACACCATATGCATATACACATGCATATATTATAAATATAAACACAAACTATATATATATGTATATATACATAAACATATAACAACTATGTACATACACACGTACGTGTGTGTGTGTGTGTGTGTGTAGGTGGGTGTGTGTACCACATACGTTGTCATATACAAAATCTTTCTGTTTCTCCTCCAAGCTTTCTCATCTCAGGAAATGACACTACCACCCACTCAATCAAGCCAGAAAGTAAAGAATCATCCTTGATTTCTCTTCCACTCACATATCAATCCAAATCCTATCAGTTTTTCCACCAAAATATATCTCTAATCCAGACATTCTTTTCTGTTTCCACTTCCACCACCCTAACCCAAACCAACATCTTTTCTTGCCTAGACTGCTGTAGTAGCCTCCTATTTGGTTTCCTTACTTCCACTTTTGTTCTCTTCCAAGCCATTCTCCACACAACAAAATCAGCTCATGTCATATCCAGCTTAACACTTATCAGTGGGTTCCCACTCCACTTAGACTAATATCCAAACTCTTTACCGTGATTACAAGTCCTATGCCTTCCTATCCTACATTATTTCCTGCCACTTTCCTTTTCTATCGCCTGTATCTAAAGGCACTTATCTTTTCATCCCGCAGGCATACGTTCTTTCCTAACTTAAGGACCATGCACATGTGTTTTTCTGTGTTTTAATATTATTTCCCCATTATTCATGTGGCCTCATCCTCTCTTTCTTTAGAACTTAAGTGATACTTTCAGAGTTCCTCTTTGACCACTTAATCTAAAGTAGCTGCCCATTCTTGTTATTTGTTTTAGCCCTTATCATAACTTACAATTAGTTTTATTTATGTGTATCCTTCTTTCCCTTCTGTCTACCCAAGAGTGTAGTCTTCATAAAGACAGAAACAGAGTCTGTCTTGTTCACTGTAGAATACCCAGTGTTTAGCACAGTGCCTGACATATAACAGAAGCTCAATTATTTTGTGTACAAATGAATAAACACTTGGCTGCACACACATATATATGCAGATATATACAAATGTGAGGGCAGATACACATGTACATAGATATACATGCTCATGTGCAAAACATATACATGTGTACACAGACCTGCACACAGGTGTACACACACCCACATCTACAAGTACAAAGACACACATAAATAGAGAAAGAAATATAATAGATACACAGAAAATTTGGAAGGAAAATGCCAAAATATTAACAGTGATTATCTCTGTATGGGGAATTTGTGATTTTTGTTTTGTTTATCCTATAATTTTTTTCTAGCTTTTCTGCACCAAGAGTTAAAATTCAACATAGTTGTCAAATCAAAGCATACCTCTTTTATAGTCAAGGAGATGTAAGTAGAAAAAAATAAAGAAGATAGAAATAAAAATAGTACAATAGGAAGTCATTGAGTGCAAGGGACATGAGCTCCTAGAACACTGAGTGGCATATGATAGGCACTTTAGAAGATTTGTGAAAGCATGAGAGCAAGGAAGGGAAGGGAACAAGGTAAAAGGAAGGGTGACAGAGAAATCAAAGGAGGGAGAAAAGGAGAAAGGAAGCAAGAAAAGAGAAGGAAAGAAAAATCATAGCTGGGGGGGAGAAAATGGGAGAGGAAAAAAGGTGGGGGAGGGGAGGTAAGGAAGAGAGATAAAATATTATTAGTAAGAGAGCAAGAGTTACCCAAGCTAGTGTGTTTATTTTCTTGATTTTCATTATTAAACATTAAATATCCTTCACCATCTTTGAAATTTCAATTTTATGGTCAAAGTAATCCACATTAACCTGGCATTTGGTAAATATTTTTAGACTATTCATCCACAGATAGAACTTACTGGCTCCACAATGTTGAACTTCTTGGACTCCTGAACTTCCTGGATTTGATAAACATAATCAAGGGAGGACTCAAAGAAATTGTGCCTCTCCTTGTCCACCTGGAGGTCTGCCTGTAGAAGAAGAGTAGCAAATGTCACATAACAGCATAATCATTTATGCAAGTCACTGCTTAGGGACTCAACAGAATGCTAGAGCTAGGGGAGAATTTAGCCATCAAGTAATGATCTTAATTCTTTTATTTTACAGACATAGAATTATAAATCAAGAAATAAAAAGTGATCAATGTGAAACTTCTGGTTTCTGGTCCAACAATTAAAAAGCTTGAAAGTTATCTCACCCATCCTCACAAGATAAATGATGAACAAGTTGAAAATGAACAACTCCCCTTGGAAACAACAGAGAATTGAAGTCAGAGGGCAAACAGTTGCCTCAAATATTGGATAGACAGTTGAAAATGGAGAATCAGAGCTTACCAGAGCAGAAACCCAGAAGCAGAAACCTGTTACTGCAGACAATATCAGACTATCAGTTATTTAAGAATAACTCTCAGGGCCCTTGGGTGGCTCACTCAGTTAAGCATCTGACCCTTGCTTTCGGCTCAGGTCATGATCTCAGGGCCATGAGATCGAGCCCCACATCAGGATCCAAGCTCAGCAGAGAGTCTGCTTGAGAGTCTCTCTCTCCCTCTGCCCCTGCCACACCCCACACTCATCTCTCTTTCTCTCTCTCTCTCTCAAATAAATATTTTTTTAAAAAGAATACCTCTCTAAGGAAATCCAAAGACAACAGGGAAAACAGAAAGAAAAATACCAGAGGAAATTCTGGCTTCTGAGAACAATAGCTAGAATAAACCAAGCATAGTCTAACAGCAAACTAAGCACAGCTTAACTCCTAGTCACATAAACATAAAGCCTCATACAAAAGGTCGATTTATCTCAGTTCCTTTTACCTGGAACATCATGCCTGGCTTTCAACAAAATAGTACAAGGCATTCAAAAGGGCAACAACAACAACAAAAACCAGTTTGAAGATAAACAACAAACATCAAAACCAAACTTAGATAAGGCAGAGATAGTGGATGGTGGAATTATTACACCAGAAATTACAGTAAGGGCTTTAATTGAAAGAGAGAAGAATACATAACAACACATGAGTAATATATGTGGATATGTGAAAATGTGAAGAAATAATCAAAAGGAAATGCTAGAAATCAAAAATAGCAGAAATGAAGAATGCCTTGAATGGGCTTATCAACAGACTGAACAAGGCTACAGAAAGAATCACTGAACTTGAACATATGTTAATAGAAACTTCAAAAACTGAAATGCAAAGAGAAAAAAGAATAAAAAAGATAGAGTCAAACATTTAAGAAGTGTTGGGCAATTTTAAAAGGTGTAAATTATGCATACTAGGAATGCCAAAAGGAGAAGAAAAGGAGAAACATAAGAAATACTTAAAGTGATGACTAAAAATTTTCCAAAATTACACAGGTACCAAAGAAAAGATTGAGAAAGCTCAGAGAACAACAGCAGTATAAATACAAAAAAATCTACATGTAGGCATATCATATTCAAACTGCACAAAGTTAAAGACACAGAGAAAATCTTGAAAGAAAATCTTCAAGAGGAAACACCTTATCTAAAGAGGGGCAAGAATAAAATTTCTCTTAAGAGACCATGCAAAAAGAAGAGAGTAGAGTGAGATATTTAAGATATTGAAAGAAAAATCACAAATTTAGAATTCTGTATCCAGTGACGTTATTTTTAAAAACTAAAGAAAAATTAAAGATTTTCTCAAACAAACAAAAATTGAAGTAATGTGTTGCCAGTAGAATAACGACCCAAGAAATGTTATAAGAAGGGTGCCTGGGTGGCTCAGTCGTTAAATGTCTGCCTTCACCTCAGGTCATGATCCCAGAATCCTGAAATCAAGCCCCGCATCTGTAAAAAAAAAAAATCTGTAAAAAAAAAAACTTATAAGAATTTCTTCAAGCAGAGGGAAAACTATATAAGTTAGAAATGCATTACCAACATATAGAAAAGAAGAGCGCTACAGAAGGAATAAAGGAAGGTAAAATAATATCACATTTTTTCTTTTTTTTTAGATTTTATTTATTTATTTGACAGAGAGACACAGCAAGAGAGGGATCACAAGCAGGGGAGAGGGAGAAGCAGGCTTTCCGCTGAGCAGGGAGCCCAACGCAGGGCTCAATCCCAGGACCCTGGGATCATGACCTGAGCAAAAGGCAGACGCTTAATGACTGAGCCACCCAGGCACTGACATTTTTTATTTTTAACTAATCTTACAGATTAGAGTTTGTCCAAAATAATAATTGTAACAATGTATTTGGTAATTATAGATTATTAAAAAGTAAGGTGAATGACATCAACATTATATGGGACTGAAAGGAGAAATTGAAAATATTGTTATAAGGTTCCTGTGCCATAGCATTATGTTATTTGAAAGTACACATGCATTAATTGTAAATGCATATGGCAAAAAAGATTAACCACTAAAGAAAGTTTTTTAAAAAGTATAATTCATATGCTAGGAGAGGACAGAAAATGGAATCATATAAAACTTTAAGTTAAAAAAAGAGAAGGCAGGAAAAAACTTAAGAGGACAAAAAAATAAACAAAGGGTAGCAAACAATAACAAACACGGTAGATATCTGCCCAACTATATCAATCACTTTAAAGGTTAATGGCCTAAACACACCAATTAAAAGTCAGAGACCGTCAAAGTGCATAAAGAGTAAAAGCCAACTATATGTTATGCATAAGACATCACTAGAAATATAAATGACACAGAGAGACTAAAAGTAAAGGTATGGAAAGATATTCCATGCTGACAGGTATCAAAAGAAAGCTGGAGTAACTATATTAATTTCAGAAAACGGAGACTTCAGAGCAACAAAACCTGTCAGGGGAAAAGAGGGGCATAACATAATGATAAATGGGTCAGTTATCTAAGAAGATATAAAAACCCTTATTATGTATAATAGGAAATCAAAACATGTGAGGCCAAAAACTGATAAAAATAAATGAATCCATAATTAGAGTTGGAAATTTCAACATTCCTCTCTCAGTAATTGAGGCAGAAAATCAGTAAACACATAACTGAATTGAACAGCACCATCAATCAACAGGATCTAATTAACATCTGTAGAACACTTCATCTAACAACAGCAGAATACACCTTATTTCAAGTTCACATAGAACAAGCACCATGATCAACCACATTCTGGGACATACAATACACCTGAATAAATTCAGAAGAATAGTAATCATACAAAGTATGCTCTCAGACCACGAATAAATTACACTAGAAGTCAATAACAAACAATGGCTGGAACCTGCCAAAATACTTAGAGATTAAACAGCACATTCCTAACTGATACATAGGTCAAAGAAGAATTTGTAAGAGAAAATAAAAAATATTTTGAACTAAATGACAAAGAAAATGCAACTTAGTATTTGTGGATACAGTGAAAGCAATGCTTACAGAAATGTTTATAACATAAAAGGCATATATTAGAAGAAATCTAAAATCAATAATTTAAGATTCCACCTTAGTAAACCAGAAAAAGAGCAAATTACAACCAGAATAAGCAGAAGAAAATAAATAATAACCATTTTTAAGGAAACCAATAAAATTAACAGGAAATCATAGAAAAAAATCAACAAACTCAAAAGCTGGTTAATTCAAAACATCAAGAAAATTGATAAGACTATAGCCAGGTTAAGGAAAAAAGAGAAGACCTAAATTTAAAATGTCAGAAATGAAAGAGGGGTCATCACTACTGACCTCATGGATATTAAAAGGATAATGAGGGAGTATTTATAACAACTCTAAGGCCTAAAATTTGATAACCTAAAAGAAATAAACCAATTCCTTGAAAGACACAATCTCACAAAACCCACAAAAGGTGAAATCACACAATCTGAAAGGATTGATATTTATTAAAGGAATTAAATAAATAATTAAAAGCCTTCCAAAAAAGAAAGCACTAGCCTAGGTGGGTTCACTGGTGAATTTTACTAGATATTTTAAAGAAGAAATGATCCCAAAGTTCTACACTCTCTTCCAGAAAATAGAAGCAGAGGGAATATTTCATAACTCCTTCTCTGAGGCCAGCATTACCCTGACACTAAAACCAGACAAAAACATTACAATAAAGGAAATGTACAAATCAGTATATCTCATAAACATAGATGAAAAAATTCTAAACAAAATATTAGCAAATCAAATCCAACAAGGTCTAAAAAATTATATATAAATTATATATAAAAAATATACAGGACCACATGGGAATTATTCCACATATGCAAGGCTGGTGCAACATTCAAAAATCAATTGATGTAGATCATCACATCAACAACCCAAAGAATAAAAATCATATGATCATACCAACAGATACAGAAAAAATATTTGACAAAATCCAACATCCATCCATTTATGAGAAAAACATTCAACAAACTAAAATTATATGGGCACCTGGGCGGCTCAGCTGGTTAAGCAACTGCCTTTGGCTCAGGTCATGATCCTGGAATCCCAGGATCGAGTCCCACATCAGGCTCCCTGCTTAGCGGGGAGTCTGCTTCTCCCTCTGCCCCTCCCCCCTCCTGTGCTCTCTCCCTCTCTCTCTTTCATTCTCTCTCTCTCAAATAAATAAAATCTTAAAAAAAAACTAAAATTATATGGGAACTTCCTCAATTTGATAAAGAACATCTGCAAAAAACCTACAGCTAACATCATATTTGATGGTGAGAAACTAGATGCTTTCCCTCTAAGATCAGTAACAACTCCTATTCAAATCATAGCAGAATTCCAAGCTAGTACAATAAGAAAAGGAGATAAAAGATATATACATTGGGAAGAAAGTAGTAAAACTATCTTTGTTCACACATGACACATTTGTGTGTGTAGAAAAATCCAAAAGAAACAACAAAAATCTGTTGGAACTAGTAAGTAACTACATAGTACAACTGCAGGATACAAAGTTGATGTACAAAAGTCAATTCCTACATGCTAAGAGTGGACAATTGGAATTTGAAGTGAAAAACACAAAACAATTTGCATTAGAAGAAAATTTGAAATACTTTGGCAT